CAGACTCTTGATGGTTTTGAGGACAAGCAGACCTTTCATGTTGTTTCAACTCTTATAAATGAAAACTTCATCCAAACTATTACATTTTAATAAAACAAAGCTGGGTGTGGTGGTGCATGTTTGTGATTCCAGCACCTGGTTGGCTGAGGCAGGAGGATCACTCAAGAGTTTCAGGCTATATACTGAGTCCAAAACTAACCTGAACAACATAGCGAGTCCCTGTCTCAAAATAAATAAATTAAATAATGTACATTTTCCCATTTAGCAATAAAATTAATTCAGTAACTGTGTTTCCTAAAATTTTAACAGTCCTTTGGTTCTTCTCCTACTTTCAGGATTGGTTTAATGTGCCCAATCCCTAAAATCAGTGCTGTGAATTTCTACATTTCTAATTTCATTGTAAATATACACTTCATAAAAATTTCATTTCTGGTCATATTCTTCTTTGTTTATTGTCTTTTTATTTTGTTTTTGAGACAGTCTCGCTATGCAGTTCAGGCTAGCCTGGAGCTCACTTTGTAGCCCAGGCTGGTCTTGAACTCCAAACAATCCTCCTGCCTCTTAGCCTTCTGAGTGCTGGGAGTATAGGCTTATGCCACGACACCAGGCAATGTTCTTCAAATTTAAAACTGAAGAATTAGTTGCTTTTTTCTGACTTAAAAATCAAATACCATCAACACAGGTAATACAAGATATGAGCTCCTAAAACTTCCTTTTGAAAAAAAGATTTCTGGGGATGGGGATTTAGCTCAGAAGCATAAGCGCCTGCCTTACAAGCAGGCAGTCGTGAGTCCAATCCCTGGTACCGATAAAAAGGAAAAAGACAAAAAAAAAAAAGAAAAAGATTTCCTATGAAACTGTTTGGTTTTATGTTTTTTCTTCCGAAAGTATGTAGCCAAAGGGTAAATTTCCAGTTCTCTGAAGATCTCAACTAATCAAGTTAAAGCAATTAAAATAGAATACACTCTGCTAGAGGTCTCCTATGAGACATTATTTGCTTTCAGTATTAAAATTCAGACAAAAAAAGAAATTAAAATGTTACACTATGGGTAATATTGAAGTCTCTATTCTAGTAACTTCTTCCCTTAAAACTGCTTCTAAACAGCAAGGTAACAAGCTTGGGACTTGCGGGCACCCAGAACCCCAGCACTGGGAGACGGAGGCAAAAGGACGGTGACTTTCAGTCTCAACTGGGCAGTTTAGCAATTTAAAGAGACCCTGTCCCCAAATAATAATAATCATCATAATAATAAAAAGTTCTGGGGATACATTCAGAGCCCCTGGGTTGAATCCCCAATAACTCGAATACATGCATACACACACACACACACACACACACACACACACACACGTACATACACACACACAGAGAATAACAAATTCAGAAACCACCTTCTCTCTGGGTGAATGACTTGGGGATAACAATGCACAATGTATGTAGCACTGCTATCTCATGACTGGTGTTTTGAAATTTTGTGTTTTGTTTTGGTACCAGAGATCAAATTCCTGACCTCCTGTTTGCCAGGGAGGTGCTTATGCCACTGAGTTAAATCGCCAGCCCTTTGTTTTTATTGTTTTTTTTTTTCCTCCGAAGTAAAATAGATTTTAAGGGGAAAAAACACACACACACAAAAACAATCTTTCAAAATAGCAAACAATTACGGTATTTATTTAAAAAAAAAACAGGCTCAAAGTGGTAGCTCCAAGTCTCTGAGGCTCAGCTAGACTTTTCCAGTCTAACATCCCCAACGCTGCAATCAACAGAATGGATCACAGCGCAGGACTCAGGTTTGCTTTTTACTTCTGTGGTAGCGTGTGATGCATTTTTCAGTATAGGACACTTATTTGCCAGATGAAAATTAGACTGTAAAAACACTATGCTGGGGCCAGGGACATAGCTCAGCGGCACAAGTGCCTGCCTGGCAAGCACAAGGTGCTGAGTTTGATTCCCAGTACCTCCCAGCCAAAAAATCTATGCTGTCTAACCTGAGACACAGCTACCCAACCATTAATTTTCCACCACACCACTAATATTCTAGGCTGCAGCAGTGTCACATAGGATGTCTGTGAACAAAACACCCTGCCTCTTCAGGCTTGTTCTACTGAGGGGAAACACAACAAGCAACACATACAGATAAATATGGCAGGTTACTGGAAGTTAACTGTGACAGAAAAAATGAAAACGTAAAGTAGGAGATAATATGCCCAAGAGCTCCAGGAGATGAAATGCTAAATGATAGTGTGATGTCTCATTGAGACATGTGTACAAATGGGAAAATTACAGTGAATACTATTTGGCTCTAAAATTTACTTAATGATTACTTTTGCTTTTTTTTTTTCTAAACATGCATCTAGCTTTCTATTTGCTGTGCTTCAATTTCTATTTCCTGACCTCCAGAAGTAGAAAGAAGGTAGCAGCCCACATCGAGGCTACCTGGGGCACGCCAAGGATACATCTCCTAATGTTTTGGCTTACTTGATATATTCTGAGAACTACAACTATAATTAAAGTGAATTTCAGGGGTTCTCTACAAAACTAATTAATAGCCCAATGCAGTTTCTAATGAGGAAATCTCTCATTTTCGCCAGCAGTTCGGATATGATCTTTATCCCCAGGTAGCTGGAGGACGAACAGCATTCACGTCATCCTGAAATTGAGAAATGCAGCATTTGGGCTGGGACACAGCTCAGTAGAAAAATGATCGCCTAGCACAGGCCAGACCCTGGGTTCCATCTTGAGCACTCCAAAAAACAAAAACAAAAATTAGTTGAGATGATCTTTTCAAATGAACCCACACAGTGCTGCCACAAATTGCATATTTACATTTAAAACTCATTTGCAACATTTCAAAATTAAATTGTTTTATTAGCATTTTATGTAATATTCATGAGATATTTTCTAACCATGCTGGCTCAAAAAAAAAAAAGCAAAATAATAACTGATGTTCAGAATGGTTTGATTTTGAAGACGAAGAATCCTGAAGTACTATAACTGCACCAAGAAAAGCTCAGAGAATACTGACTACTATACACAAAACATCCTTCCCACAAGAGTTCTCAGGCCACCAAAATAAAGCAGGTCAGGAGCTGAAATCGATGCCAACTGTTTAACCAAAGTAATCAGTTACTGAATAGCAAATGTAGGTGAGTGGAGAAACTTCAAAAACATGGAATTTTTTTTTTTTTTTTGTATTTTTACAAGGTACTAGGGATCAAACTCACGACCACACGCTTGCAAGGCAGATGCTTATTCCACTGAGCTAAATCCCCAGCCCCAAAAACATGGAATTTAACAAGATGTTAAATGTTATCAGTGACTAACTAAAAGCACAAATTTAAAATGCATATTTTTACCCTCGAGAGAAGTAAAAACTTTTGACATTTTCCTCTTGGCTATATCAGATTTTCAGAAATATATTTTACATCTGGAAAGAACATTTCCAATTTATACGGACTTCACTTTTAAAAGTCAAATTGAGGGCGATTAAGGTACTTAGTGACTAACATCTGAATTTTTTTTTTTTTTTTTTTTTTTTTTTTTGGTACCAGGGATTGAACTCATGACCTTGCACCTGCCAAGCAGGAGAACATCCGAATTTTGACAGGATGGACAAAATGTTACAAATGAAATGAAAGAAATATTCAAAGTTCATCATCCTCTACGAAAATAAAGGGACGCTGGAACAAAAGATGCCTCGGTTGCCTCTGCTCTTTAATTTGCAAACACCATACTTCTCTATGTCATGCCCAGAGGAAAAAAAGAATTTTTTTTTTTTACAGCTTGCTAAATTGGGATATGACCATTGCATCTAGAGCTCTGTCAATCCTCCTTCCTCCTCCAAATTTCTTTTGATTAAAAATAAATAAATAAATCAGGTAGATTCACGTACTCCCTCTAGGATACCCCTCTTCACTCCAAGGCCAAGGAAAATGTTTACGATTTCCAGCCCCATTCAGAAGCCTGCATCTGCAATGCGTAAGCTCTTCGTCGGGCACGATCAGTCAATACCCAAAGGCAGGGAACGTTCAAAAGGTTAACAGGATGAAGGTTAAAAAGAATCACCATCAATCAGCTCAGAAATATTCTTTGCTCCCTAGCCGCAAAATAATTTCCATTCTCCGATCCTAAGTACCCAGCGGGGTTTCGCGTTCGTGCTGAGGCCGCGGAGCGCTTTCCGCACGATCCACCCGCTCCCGCCGGGGAGAGGCTGCAGGGGAGATGCGCGTCCGTCTGTCCGTCCCCCACCCCCGCCCCGGCCAGGGTCCCCGCTCGCGATTTCCCCCTGAGGTGACAAGGCGGGAGGGAGAGAGCGCGAAGTTTGCGGGGCTCCACGCTTCGCACAGCCCACGCGCGAAGGGCTCGGGTCCAGGGGCGCAGCCCGGGCCCCGCGATCTCCGGAGGGGGCGCTTATGTAAGCAGCCCCGCACCCGCGCGCCCCGGGCCGGCCACACGCGGACGCCGCAGCCCGGAGCGAAGCCGGCTCCGCGCCCCCGCGGTGGGCTCGGCGGCACCAGCCAGCCCCGCGGCAGGGCAGCCACGCGCCCCGGGCCCCGGCGACCCCGGCCCGCCCCGCCCCGCCCCGCCCCGCTTACCTCGCGTGGCCCAGACCCCGCCGCCGCACAGCAGCCCGGCGAGCAGCAGCCCGGCGGCCGGGGCCAGCGCGGGCGCGGGGCGGCGCGGCATCGCTGGGCTCGGGGGCGGCGGGCGGGACGCCGAGCAGGGCCCGGGGCCGGCTGCGGAGCGGCGCGAAGCGGCGCGGCGAGCGGCGGGGGCCGAGCGGGAGGCGCCGTGCCGAGCCCTGGGCCGCGTCCGGCCGCGGCGCCCTCCCGCCTGCAGCAGCGCTTCGCTGAGGCGGCGGCGGCGGCGACTAAGATGGCGGCGGCGGCGGCGCGCGCTCGGGTCCGGCTCGGGGACCGGCGGGGGCGGGGCGCGCGGGCGGGGCGGGACGGGCGGGGAGCGGCGCCCGACGCGCGCGCACCAGGAGACGCGGGGGCGCGCGGGCAGGCGGGCGCGCGCCGGGGCCGGGCTTCCCATTGGCCCCCAGGGCCGCGCCCCCGCCCCCGCCCGGCCGCGCCGCGCTCCGACCCCTCGCCCGGGCCGCCGCGTCCGCTCCACGCGCGCGCTCCTGAGCGGGGCCGGGGCCTGCGCCCCCGAGGCGCTGCTCCCCTCCAGCCCGAGGGGCCGGGGCTCCCGCCCTCACACCCCAGAGGGCGCGGCCCCCCGCGCCTCCCGGCGGCGGCCCCGTCCGCCCTGAGCGTCTCTGCCCCCTGCAGGTGCAGGACGGGACGCGGGGGCGCGCGGGGCTGGGGTCAGGCCGGCGCGCGTGGGCTCGGGCCGGGCCGCTCGAGGACCAAGCCTGCGAGCTGGCGGCGCCGGCTCTCCCTGGAGGGCCCGCCGCCCGGAACGCGGAGGACCCGGGCACACCGGGCTCATCCCCGCTCCCTGTGTCCCAGGTATCTCGCAGCTGGACCCCAGAAGCGCCCCACCCTGAGGGCCAGGCCCGGGGAAGTCGTGGACGCTGCTAGGAGCGGCTCCATTTTCCAGAGAAGGAAGCCAAGGAAGAGGCATGACTGGCCGGGCTGAGACACCACGGCGTGTTAAAATGTACCCTCAGTCCTCAGGACGGAATGGCCAGGCTGCTGGATGAGCTACCAAACAATGTCAAAGGCCAAGGTTTGGGGCGGTTACCTGGGGAATTGAACCCTGGATCTTCCCACTAAGTTACATCCCAGTCTTTTTTTATTTATCCAATTATTTTCGAGACAAGGTCTCACCAAGTAGCTGACTTGCCCAGACCAGGCTCAAACTTATCCTCCTGTATCATCCTCCCAGAGTGCACAGGGCCGAGGTGTGGGAAGGATCTGTTGGGGGGGTTACAAGTAGGCAGCTGGCTGGAAGGGGGCGTCGGCATTCCAGGAGGGGCAGGGTGTTTGGGGATAATTTGGGTGAGGAGCCTAAAGAGGTAGACTGAGGCCGGGCTGTACGATGCATCAGGAATTTGGACCTGATTCTCCAGGGAACAGGAAGACCTGGAACAAAGGCTGGCCGGCCAGGAGGGGATCCGAACACGCCTTCCTGCCCGTGTCTCGTGTTTCTTAGCATCTTTAGTGAAGCCGAGGGTCCAGGGGAGTGAAGTCTCTCCCTTCTGGGGCTGCACCCTCCAGGACACCTGCCCCCCATCTTTACACCACACTCCACCCTTCTCCAGCCAAAGATGTTATCCTGTCACCAGGTCGGGCTGGTCATCATGCTGCTGTTGGCTGTGTCTCTTCCTGGCTCATAAACTCAATGACTGGTTTCCTACTGCCACCTCATCACCAGCCTGCAGCCCGCGGCACAGCTGAGCCCAGGGCAGGCGTCTCCCCAGGGCTGTGTCACAAGGCACATGATGACGTCCGCCCTCCGGAAGTGCTCCCGCCCCGCTGCACCTACCCTAACCTGCAGTCTCTGAGTCTCCCAGGAGTGTCTGCTCCAGCTGCGTTCCAGCGTGAAGGAGCCAGCGTGGTGCAGCCAGGGCCGCTCAGGATTCTGCCTGCTTCTCCTACAAGAGACCTTGCACAGGCTGCAGGATTTCCTAAGTCTCCTTCTTTGCCTGAGAAAAAGAACAGACCAGCACTCGAGAGGCTGAGGCAGGAGAAGTCCAGTGAGTTCAAAGCCAATCTTGGTTACATAGTGAACTCAAGTCCAGCCTGACCTACGTGGCTGGATCCAGTCTTTAAAAAACAAAAAAAGTGAGTGTGTCCTAGATAGAGGCTTGGATTAGGGTACCTAGGTGGATGGAGTTTCTCTCTCCCCTCCGTAGTCCAGAGCCTTCCAAGCACCTAGGATCCTGCCTGACAGAGTAGCCACTCAGTACGTAACGGATGAGGAACTAAATGAATTGCTGATAGATTTTCTTTAATGGAGTTCATGTCTCAAGAGGGTTTAGAAAGAATGTACCCCGTAGGTTTTCCAGGGATCTTTGAGATTTACAGAACGTAAAATCAGGAAGGTCTAATTTCAGAACTGCACTGGATACTCAAAGGGAAGTGTGATGTATTCAGTTCTATTAAAAACACAAACAAAAGCTCCTCCCTATCTGGAGCCCTTAGCCCTGTATCTTCTGGCCCCCACTGTCCCTTAGAGAAAGAGATGGAGGAAAAGAGTCCAGCATCAGGTTGGGCCACGGGCAGCTGGTGAGCTCAGTGGACCTGTGGTCACTGTGATGCCACTGCAGGAAGCTGCCAGTCACAGAGCTCAGCCCGGAGCCTGGAAGCCAGGAGGCTGGGCACTTGGTTCCAGGTGCACCTGATGCTTGCCCCAGCCATGCCGGCACTTTGCTTTTCCTTTGGTTGGTTGGTTGGTTTGTTTTTGAGACAGGGTCTCACTGTGTAGCTCAGGCTCGACTTGAACTCACAGTATAGTCCAGGCTGGCCTCCTGCTTCAGCCTTCCACCCGAGGGCTGAGATTACATGTGTGAGCCACCAAACCTGGCAATATTGTCATTTTTCAAAGGTCTCCCCTGCAATGGCTTGATAGTCCTCAAAAGGGCTCTGAGGTGGGACTCGGTCTGGACGCGGTGACAAGTTGTTGTCAGCTGGGCCAGCTGCCCGCACAGGCAGCACTGGGGGCCCTGGAGCAGTGGGTACCAGGATTGACTTTGCCAACCCCAGTGCTGCACACCCAGCCCGGTGCCTGCCAATGACCTGCTGTCTGCCTCTACATGGGGACTATGTTGTTCCCACTCCATAGAGGAGCAAAATGTCACATTTGCTCAAGAGCACGTTGCTAGAAGCAGGACTCCAGGATTCTGTTTGTCGTCCATCTGAGCCCAAAACAGTGTCTAAGCCTTTGACCCCAAGAATCCTAGCCAACACTCTGCACAGCCCAGGTCTTGGGGGCTTGGCTGCCTTTGCTGGGGACATCAGTTCCCGGGTCTGGAGGCAGCAGGAAGCGCTCACAGGACACAGAGATGAGCTGAGGGTCCTCAGAGGCAGCTACTAAAACGTGCCCCAAGGGAGGAGGCCCGAAGAAAGCAGCCAGCCACTAGGCACCTCAGCCTGGGGATGGCCACCAGAATTCCCTGCATTAGCTGCAAATGGGCAGCCCAGCCCAGTCTGGCTTCTGCGGCTTGGCCTGGTGACTCCATGGCTGTAAGGGGAAAATTCTTTTAATTTTTACTTATTCATTTTTTAATTTTCCCCCAGATACAGAATCCTACCACTCAAGAGGCTGAGGCAGGAAGATTGAAAGTTTAAAGAGGGGCAGCTCAGCAGCTCAGCACCTGCCTGGCAAACACATGGTCCTGAGTTTGATTCCCAGGACAGGACCCACTCCCAAAAAGAAAGCCAGCCTGGGCTGCATGGTGAGACCCTGTCTCAAAAGAAAAAGGATTGAGAATGTAGTTCTTTGTTTCCAGAGTTTAATGCGAATATCACAAGCGGATGGAGAAAGAAGGAGGAGGAGGAGGAGAGGAAGACGAAGAAGGAGAAACAGAAGCAGAAGCAGCAGGGGGAGAGGGAGAGGAGAAAAGTGGGAGAAAAAATACAAATAGGAGGCGAAGCCAAGCATGGTGGCACACACCTGTAATCCCAGCACTTGGGGAGGCTGAGGCAGGAGGATCACCATGAGTTCAAACCCTGTCTCAAAAGAAAAAAAAAAAAAAAGAAATAGGAGGGAGAAGAAGGGGAGGAGGAAGAACTCCAACTTCCAAAGGGGTACCCCCTGGGCTCAGGAATCAGACTGGCACCTGTGGGCTTGTTCACCTTTTCCAGTGCTGCCCTTGGCAGAAGACCCGAGAGAATTCCCATACTCAGCGCGTCAGCCGGGACAAGCTGGTGAGAATTCCCAGGGTAGGGAGCCTCCCTCCCCGCAGAGACCAGGCAGCTCACTACTTCAGGGTACAGCCTCAGCCCTTTGTTTTATTCTGAGCCAGAGTCTCATAGTCACTTGCCTAGGGTGGGGTCCATTTTGACATCCTCCTGCCTCAGCTTCCCAGGCATGCACCTCCACACTCAGCGAAGGCAGCTCGTTTCTGCATCTCCAAAGATGGGCCAAAGGTTGACATTTTCTATCTGTGCTCCCTCCCTGACTGTTTCATTTCCAGCAGGGAATGTGGTCCCCACCTCTGAGGACACTCGAGTCAAATATGCTATGTTCTGTCCACACTGTGGCCGGGAGGAAGAGGACAAGAGGAGGGAAAGGCCAGGACAGAAGGGAGCCCAGCTCCCAGCATGGCTGCACTGAACTGAGAATCAGGAAATGGGGCTCTTTTCTCCTCTTCCTTCCTTTCCTTCCTTTCTTTCTTTCCTTCTTTGTTTCTTTCTGGAGATGGAGTCTCGTTGTCTTTCCCAGATGGGATTTCAGCTCTTGGGCTCCAATGATTCTCCTGCCTCAGCCTCCCCAGTGGCTGGGAGCATGTGCGTGCACCACAGTGCCAGTCAGAACACCTGGGTCCTATCGCGCTTACTTCCCTGGAACTGGAGGAAACCGAGGGGTAACTTTAAAAAAATGAAAAACTGTGGTAACACACAATTGTAACCCCATTTCCTAAGGAGGCTGAGGCAGGAGGATTGCTGGATCTTAGACCAGCCTGGGAAATATAGTAAGTTCTCAACTCAAAAAAAAAAAGCAAATGAACAAACAAAAATAGCCCGGTGTAGATGCTCACACCTGTAATCCCAGCACTGGGAGGCCGAGGCAGGAGGATGGTTACCAGTTCAACACCAACCTGGGCTACAAAATAAACTCAAAACCAACCTGAACTACATAGCAAGACCTTGTCTCAAAAAGATTTTTTAAAAATCCCAGCACGGTGACGCATGCCTGTAGTCAAGCACTCAGGAGGCTGAGGCAGGAAAACCACTGTGAGTTCAAGACCAGCCTGGGCTACAATGTGAGCTCAAGGCCAGCCTGAACTGCACAGTGAGACTGTGAGTGAACCAAGGTGCTGGGCTGGCACAGTGAGAGAAGAAATGCCCCCAGGGCCACGAGGATCACACTCCAGCACACACCCTCCCACAGGAGCAGACACAGCCTCCCCGAGGCTGGAGCACCACACCCTTCCCGGACACTTCTCAGGTCTCCCCTCCCCAGTCCTCCTGGGGGGGGCTCATAGGGGCGGGGCTTCAGGAGAAAGTGAATGCTTGGGAAGATGGAGTAGTATGCAGCCACAAAGAAGGATAAATGTGTCATTTGCAGGGAAATGAATGCACCTTGAGACCACAGTGTTAAGAAAAACCAGACACACAGCTTACATATCACATGGCTTCTGTGAACAACCCCAAATATGAATAATTTTAATTTTAAAACAAAATGAAAGGCAATAGGGAACACAGATCATTTTGGGGGGTTTCTTTTCCAGCAGGGTCTTGCTGTGTAGTGCAGGCTGACCTTGATCTCATGGTGATCCTGCTACCTCAGCTCCCAAGTGCTGGAATTACAGGGGTGCACCACCACACCTGGCAAGATCTTTTGCAAATAGGAAGGGAATCTAGAGATGGGGGAATAAAAATAATTAAAATGCCAGGCTTGGTGTGATCTAGTGCCTGGGAGGCTGAGGCAGGAGGATCACTGAGTTTGAAGCCACCCTGGGCTACATAGTGAGTTCAAGGCCAGCCTGAACTACATAGGGAGACCCTGTTTCAAACAAGCAAAAAAAGGGGTCAGGGTTGGTAAGTGTACGGGTCTACCCCCAAAAGTGAGCATCAGCATTATGGACTGTAAACATACTAATTAACAGAACCAGATACATGTGCAAAATAAGGCTCAGAGTACTCTTGGACTGTCCCGGGTCACCCACAGCCCAAGATGTAGGCAGGGAGGGGACAACTGAACCTCTGCTCTCCCTACCTGTCCCCATCTGTTGGTTCCTTGGTCCAGCAAATGAAGTCCTGAGGTCTCTGCCATGGAGACCAAGGTGGGTGGCTGCAGGGCCTCCCCCCCGCATCATCCCCAGGGCTGGAGCCGGGGCCCCAGAACATCACAGCCACATTGTCACATGTGGCACTGAGCTTGGGGGCAGCATGGCAGGGACCCCTGGGCTCCTGCTCTGCACCACCTCTGCAACCCTAGAGGCTTGGGGAAGCCGCAGAACCAGGCATCCATTTAGGGGATGCATCGTGGCACCCCAGCGCAAAGGCTCCTCCGGGGAACCCCTCCTGCACCCGGCTGTGGCTGGCTGGAGGGGAAGCACAGGCATGGGGGGACAGAGAGGAGGGCAAGGTGGGTCTTTGCCCTGTGCCCAGCGCCAGGAGCTGCACTAGGAGGAGGTCGAGGCATGGGAGCCCCAGATGCAAGAGTCTCTGCCGGGCCTGGGGATGTGCAGGGGCTGCTGAGTGTGTAGCCGAGCTCCCAGGCCTGAGCCAGAGTTGTGCTCATCTGGGTCTCTCGGGGGTCTGCGCTCCTCTTTAGTAGTCAGCCAGCTGTCCTGGGGCTTGACTTGACCCCACAGGGTTGAACCCGAGCATCAAATCTCAAAATGTGACCCAAGTGGTCCCCACAGCCCCTAGTAGTACCCACCTGGGTGTGGGGGCCCTACACCCTAAAAGACAAAGAGCTGTGCCCAGACCCCTGGATCTCGGCCTCCCACATCTGTGGCCTGTGAGGCTGGTTCCACAGAGTCAGGTTCTGGAAGGATCAGGGCACCTCACTCTGCAGCTGGTAGCTGGTGCCCTTGTTATACCAAGACCCCAAAGGCTGGGCCTCAGCGCCTGGATGCAAGGCCCCCCCAGTCCCCTCTGAGGAGGTTGAGGGGAGACCAATGTTAATTTGTCCATCCTCACTAATTCAAAAAGGAGCGTAACCAGCGGGGCTTGGCCAAGGGTGTCTTTGGGGCCCAATTATGCATCATTACTGCGTTTGCTCTTTGTTCCTGGCATATTAATTGCAGAGCTGGCGTTGTGGCAATTAACACAATTACAGGCTCTTTCTCTTCCGGGGGGCCATGAGCCACGTGCCTCTGGCCACGGACGGATGGGGAGAGGCCGCCCTACAGTCCTTTCCCGGGAGAGAGCCACCTTGTATCCTTTCCTCTTGGTCTCAGGAGGAACCTGCCTGTCTGACTGACACCAGGATTTTGGCGCTCTGACCTCCAGGCCCTGGAACCAAAACCAGCCTGTGGTTTGTGGTTGTCCTTGTTTTGAAGTACTAGGAATTGAACACAGTGCCTTCTCCCTGAGCTACACTCCCAGACCTTTCTTTCATTTAGAGACAGGGTCTTACTAAGTCACTACATTGTCTAGGCTGGGTTTGAACTTGCAATCCTCCTGCCTCAGCCTCCCCCAGGCTGCTAGGGTTACAGCTGTGTGCCACTGTGACCAGCTCCACAGACCCACTCTGGTTCCACACTTATCACAATCCTGTGGAGCTTAGGGTTATCACCTATGTTATACATGGGGAAACTGAGGCACAAGGCAGTCACACCGCCCATAAGGAGCAGAGCTCAGGCCTGAACCGGGACATATGATTTTTGTAACTATGGCAGTTCTTACGGTGCAGACCTCAGAATAGATAAGTCTCCAGAGTTCTGAGACCAAATGAGACAGGGAAAGGTCCCTGAGATGCCTGGCTGGACCGACGCTTCCTCAGGATCCTTTGTACCCTCACTCCCGTGGGTGCCTCAGGCCTGGACCTAACTGCTTCTCTCCTGTGGGGTGCTTGGCATCATGGATGAGGCCACAGGACACCACAGTGCCACCCAAGGATGGCAAAACCAGGTCTACTTGGGGAAAAAGAAAACACTGATCTTAATTTTAACAGGAGAGCCAGGGGTGGTGGCACATGCCTGTAATTTCAGTCCTTGGGAGGCTGAGGCAGGAGGATCAACTGGACTACATAGCAAGACCCCATATCAAAAAAGGAAAAAAAAAAATCTAGGCAGGAAAATCTGCTTCCCACCCAACTCTTTCCCGTTCCCGGCAGGCTGACGAGGGTTGGTGTTAGTGTGGGACTTCGCGGGCTCGGGGAGCAGCCGGCACAGCCAGCGCAGTGTCCAGTGTGACCACCCCGTCTCTGAGCACATAACAACCGTTGTTTTGGGAAGCTCAGCCTCTGTTGGCCTTCCGTATGGCCCTGGAAGCACATCGCTCCAGCAGCCTGCTCTACCCTGACCATTTAGTCCATGGAACTATAACCAAATCTCCAGCCTCCATGATTGGCCCACTGGGTGGCACATGACCCAGTCTGACCAATCAGAGGCTGCCTTTGGATTTCTTCGGGTCCTGGGAAAAAACAGGTTTCTGGGCGCGAGGCTGCTGGGAGACTTGTCGCAGAGCAGAAGCCGTCTGTGGTTGGGGCTGATGAGGCCACAAGGCTGACATGGAGGGACCAGCAGAGATGGCATGAAAAGGGGTGTCCTGGAAGCACGAAGCCTCCAGTTCCAGGCCCACAGGCCCTGGTTCTTGTGACAAGGTAGTCCTGGGAGCTGCCCCCAGAGCCTCTCCAGCCTGTTGGAGCTGGGTTTCTGTTGCCTGCTTCTAGAGCCCAGGCCAGCTGAGTGTGGCTGTGCACACCTGTAGTCCCACAGTTTGAGAGACTGAGGCAGGAGGATCGCCAGAAGTTTGAGGGCGGCCTGGGCTACACAGCCTAAACTATATATTGAGACCCTGATTCATCAACCCTAGTCCCCAAGCTCCTCCAGTGGCCCCAAATTGCTTCAATGGCCAAGAGAAAGCCCAACAGAACAGGGGGTGTGGGGCCCAGTATCCCCAAAACATTCCCAAGGGATGGGGCAGTGGAGCAGAGAGGGCATCTCCTCTCTGGAGATACAGGATTTTTTTTTCTTGTCCAGATAACTCCGGTATAAAAAAAAAAAAAAACAGGGTGATGGCACCTGTGCCAGGCATGGTGTGCGTGTGCCTCACCTGTAATCATGGTAATCCAGGAGGCTGAGACAGGCAGTCCCTTCTGGGCATCTGAACAATCTAGGGAGAACTTGCCTCAAAAATTTAATTAAAGGGGTGGGGATATAGCTCAGTGTGAAGGGCCTGGGTTCAGTTCCTAATAATAATAATTTTAAAAGATTATTCAAAACTGGGCATGGTGGCACATGCCTATAATCCCAGCGCTCAGAAGGCTAAGGCAGGGGGATCCTTGCAACTTCAAGGCCAGCCTGAACTGCCTAGCAAGACTTTGTCTCAAAAAGACACACACAGAAAAAGATTATTCCATCATTAGCAAAGCTTTATTGAAAGCCCTGGATTGCCAGGTACCAAGGCCACCGTGGAGAAGTAGCCAAAGTCTCTGCAGCTTCCTTTGTATTGGGAGGAAGGAGAGAGACTGAGCAAAGTGCCTGGGGACCTTACAGAGCCCTGGTACTGCCTGGCAAGTGCAAGGTTGTGAGTTCGATCCTTGGCGCCAAAATCAAACAAACAAAGCCTTGGTGAAGCTCCACCCAAAGGATCCATCATTTCCACCAGCCTTCCTGGGGAGAGAATACTTACAATTAATTAGGTCCATGGTGTCATCCAAGGTGACCTCGCCTGGCTCCCTGTCCAGCGTGCTCCCTGCACCTGCCTCCCCCTCCCTCCCACCCACCAGCTGGTGACTGGAGGCTCCTAATCTCCTAAGCCTGCACCCTTCATCCTCTTCATCTGGAGGAGGGACAGTGCCAATCCCTGGCTGCCGCCAAGGGCACTGGTGTGGACTTCACAGCCCTGGCTTGGGCCAGCAGTGACAGTGCCCAGTCAGCTCCAGCGAGCCCAGACACCCTGTCTTTCCCCAAGTCACTTTCTGGGTCCTCTGCAGAAGCCAGGACCAGCAGATC